AGCCAAGTGACGACGTTGGAGTAATGACTCGTATAAGGGCTGCATCGCGCAAAGCAAGATCAAAGTTGGCTCCATTCGCAAATGCCGTCGCACGCTCATTGAGTTTCGCCATGAATTGACATGCAAGTTGATCGACCGCTTTTGTTGTTGCTAAAATGGAGGTGTCACGTTGTTGAACAGAAGAAGCGATTGAATGAACAGGGGAAACGTTGGTATCGTAGATTGGGTTCATGGTTGAGTGGTATTGGGAGAAGGAAGAGATGATGATTCATGTTGGTGACCAGCCTAAATTGTATTTCACTCCACAATTGGCTTGAACACTAAACATTATGGATCCCTTCCCCCACAAACATTGTCTACCATGATACAGTGTGCATACAGCATGAGAGATAGTAATGGAAGAAGGGCAATATTGGGGAAGACAAGTGTAACGTGCTTGTGTAACAATAGCTGCCTATCAACATCATTAGTTTATAGTGCATGTTGGCATTCTTCAACTTACAATAATAAATGTTGCAAGCGATGGGCTTGCGTTCCCCAGAGCCTGGTGAAAAATTAGTGTCGTTATCCTTTTTGCATGGTGAATGGCATGATGTTGCCTTCATTGCAAATTGAATGCAATGATCATCATCATCATGGTTTCTGATTTTAGAAAGCGTGTTGTCGTATGGATCACTTTTAAAGGGAAAGAAATGCTTCTCTTTTGTAGTATTCACTATACTACAATACAATTAGGAACGTAGATGAAGGATAATGAGGTAAGCATGTTCGGTCATTGTATACCAGGATTACCATCTCTCGACGGATTGCGAGGTTATTATTCATTGATCATTTGAGATACTGTGCCATGGCAAACAATGGTACAACACGCATCACCCAGTACAGGTCTACGCCTATAGGTGTGTGGATGTTTTACTGCGTGGTATGTAGGCGCAGGATTTACTACTTGGATTCAACACAATTCAATACGCATCTCACTCCCACTGCTATTACATTTTGACAGTTCTTTTCTATTGGATGATGACCCGTTTTTATTTTCAGGCATTGCGAGGCTATACTAATACAACTAGGGAAACGAGAAAGCGAATCGTCCACGCATACCACTAATCCATGTGCTCTAACCATATCCATTCCACCATTCTCGAACGTGTATAGATATCCACATACATACAAACCAAACCTGATGCTCCTTGGACATGCATATCCGCAAAGGCCCCACATTGCCTCCCGAACCCAAAAGTAACCTACCTGCATCCGTACTTGACCGTGATATGCATGAACCAACAAAAGTACTTGCAAGACAATGGCACCTTAACACAACGTCGTCACCGAATACAACCCAAGGTTCAAATGGAGACTGGATCATGGCAATGCATTTCTTGCGAGGTGATCATGCAGCTTGCAATTCGTATTGATGAAAGGGGTTCCATAACAGATACATACCTGAATCCAGAGCAACAGCATACGTGGTGTAGTGTTGAGACATGTACCAATGATGATGATGATGATGATGATGATGATCGGCTGCCTGCAAGAAGTTAACACTCTATGAATCCTGTGCCCATCCTATTTCACGTACCACCACTAGTAACCATAGCAAAGGGTATCTATACAAGTTTGATAAGAAGTCTTGGTTGAGATGAAGTTTGTATGGTCGAAGATGCCTGGTTTGTCGATGGAACGCTATACATACCATTAACACAATAATGTACAATCATGCTGCCATCTTTTTCGATGCATGCCATGTATCCATGCAGGTATGATGAACACCTTGATATCTCCCAAAACGTGAAAGGCTCCTGATACAGGCACCTCAAATGCATATTACACGCCACCCCTTGCTCAATGTGTAAGTGCTTTGTATCATGATACTGCCTTCAAAAACCCTACCATTTAATCGCTACTGAACTTGCTTCCTTCGTGAATGATAGTCATCGTCCTTAAGATAACCCGGGTTCATGGCGAGAGAGAGAGAGCGAGAGAGAGCAAGGTCAGGGAGCGTCATGGTAGGATTCAAATGACAGCACAATCCATCAGCAGTGAGTGACGGTAAAATCTTGAAAATGTTGAAGACGAATACGACTCATACAATGAGGATACGCAATTCCTAATCAAGACCATGGTCAATAAAAGAATAGCTATGTGTTGTCCACTTTACCATTGATGTCCAGCTCCTGTAACCAGCCTAAGTCATTCAGTCATATTCTTGCGATATCATCATCGACATCTTTGTACATTGGTGAAGCAGGATGAGCTGTCCAATTCCTTCAATAACCGTTAACTTGATCAAAGTCGTCCATAAACCGTAAACCATCGCTATGGTCGCCCCACAAAAAGACATATACACATGCACGTATATGGGATAATGGTATCAAACGGCAAATCATCATTCATAACCATGGGAACAAGTGTACCCATAACGAGGTTGCAACGAAGTTGTCTGATAGAGTCAATGTATCTGCTGCAGGGGTGTTTGCCATCCAGCTTGGCGTGTTGCAGCATGGCGTTATGGTATCCTTGACAACAACAATAATGAGAGCCTGCTTCCAAATATGGATAATATTGTACTGGTTACCTTATCCATAGGAAACGTTAGCTCCACAAGACTATCCAAGTGTTGTGCATGGCGAGTGTTGTGACATGTGCTTGGCATTGTGGAAGGGCAGACTAATGTTGATGCATGGAGTTCCACTAATGCCGAATTGGCTGGAAGCTGACAAGAAGGAATTCGTGGAATGTTGGCATTGGGGGTGTTGAATCGTAAAGGTTTTTAAAGATACGTGGAAGAAGCTGCTGCTGGGAGGGCTGGTTAAGTGGATGGAAGTAAAGAGGGAGACAAAGGTACGCAGCCTAATTTAAGGGCGCCTTAACAATTTGGGAACACCCGCCAGAATGCATCATCATCATTGCCATCCATCCAATAAAGACGCTTCAATGACTTGCTTCACATAATGGATCCATTCAGCATTATTAGAAATCAAGATAAACAGAAGGAGGTACACCACAGGATGTTGCTGTTTCAACTTGGGTCTACGAGATGATATTCCTGCTACAACAGCCTTTTACAATATCAGTGCGACGTGTTGCATCCTTGTGTCACCATTCTTTTACTGCATGAAAAGGAAACAAACGAGGATTGATGATACGGTCAACCTTCAGACTCAAAGTAATCATTCAACCAAACACCCATTTATTTTTATCCAGGTTGGAGCCAAGGTGTGTACGATTTTATCGTCTGAGATCACACATCTACTGAGGTTACACAGCATCAAAAGATATGATGATTCAACCTTTGCCATATTCAACCTATCCACCACACCAAGGGATATTCATCTACGCACATGTTATTGAGAACGCTTCACTATGTTCAAGGGAAAAGAGAACAATGTAATTGTACGAGCCAGCCGCCACGTGTATTGGATCACTTAAGGTGATAATCTGATTTACTACTTTTCATCACCATCCTACCAATGTATCCAAGTAGGGATGTTGAAGATGCATGAAATGAAAGATGTCTTTTAAATGATTGTGCGCTCGTGTCCTGGCTCTAAAGCATAGAATTTAGCATGAATAAAAAAGAAAGCTAATCCCATATAAAGGGTAGGCAAGCACATCCATTAAGGTTCAGGCCCGCGAACAAGGATAACAAGAGTGAATGGAAAGGCGTATGATGACCACATGTATATGCAAGGTCACCTAAACGACAAGTCAAGACAATGATGCAATGAGAAAGTTATCAGAGCTGAGGCTAGACAAGGATTTAGGATGAAGGCATAAGATAATCAGACTGCAGATTTATTCAATAAAGATGACATGTAGCTTGCTTATGACGAAGGAGAGGAATGGGAAGAAGAAGCTAATGATGATGAAATATGTAGCAAAGCATCCAAGATAGTCCCCTTGATGATCCTGACTATGCCCCCACGAACCAATACCAGTAATTGCGTTTTATCCTTCGCAATAGTACGCTGAGCATCTTTATTATCATAAGTCATAAAGCTACCTTAGTCCATCCAGCTACCAAATACAGGTGAGGCCTCCATCATACTTTCCAGAGTTCTTACCTTATCCATTGTGAATTCGTTCAACATACGTGAGCCTCCATCCTATACATACATAATCCTGAACCTATGTAAGCAAGCATATCTGATTGATCCATCATACATACCTACGCCTTTAAACCCAAAAGATTACCATCCATCCATGTATTGCTTGCGTAAACCTGGTGCACAATGATACCATCCGGCAATGTGGTAATCGGATAAGAGGTGTAGACGAGTTGATACTGGATCATGATAAAAGGCTTGCTGGGTAAAAAGGTGCCGTAAAGCGTACAATCCTAATCCCTGAACTCGTTGAAAAGACATCCATAAGTAATCACATTCGGCAGCATACGCAGAGGTTGAGTGCTTTGGCAGGTACTTGACGTGATGATGGTGCTGGTGATGATGATGCTGGTGATGATGATGATGATGATGATGATGATGATGATGATGATGATGATGATGATGATGATGATGGTTAGCTGCTTGAAACAATTAACCATTGTATAACCATACTGCCGTTGCCTCCCTTAATACTTCGTACCAATACCTGTAACCATGGCAAAATGTATCCTACGCGCATTGAAAAGCTGCCAGCACGTTTACCTGTTATAGCCCTGTTGGGTACCTTTAGACTGGGCAAGGTCCATGGTGGAAGTTGTGTAGCGTGTCATAGAAGAGGAAACTGAAACGACTGCAGGAAGATGAGCCACCAGCTCCGTTGTAGAGATGACGCGTAACCAAGGAGACGAATGCTGCCTGAAACCAATTCTGTTGGTAGATGGCGAACGAGGAATGTCGACAAGGTGTAAAGTAAAGCTTGGGTCGAGTATAGAGAGGAGTCGTCGTTGGAGCAAAAGGGGCAACAAAGCAGCGGCCACTCGCCTGGGAGTATTTATCCGCTAATTTTCATGTTTGGGTGGCGACGGCCCCTTCTTGTTTCCCAGCCAACCAACAATGGAAGATTCGATTTGGACCGATTTATGCAAACAGCCAATACTCAAAGCGCCTTCTGGAAAGTATGCTCAGCTTGTTCACGATTCAACGGCACAACTCCATCAATCCCTTCAACCCATCTTGTCAGCTCTGAATCTACGCGCCATTGGGTTTACAAAGTGCGCCAACTTTGATGCTGCTCTTCGCGATGCCAAGGTTTTGCAACAACTTGCACCTTCTTCAGCACTTGGATACATACGTGAAGCCGATATTTACAGTGAACGAGGACAACAGCTTCAAGTAATTGATGTCTGTGACAGGGGGATGATGATGGTGGATGCCAAGGATACCCAGTATGATGTACTGAAACGAGCCAAAACCGATGCTGAGCAGCGCCAGAACACGCGTATCGACTTTATCAGCCAATTACCTCTCGACGTTGTTATCACAAGCCTGATTCCAATGTTTATGGATGGTTATTTACATTGGGATAAACGATGCCCCTATTTGTATGTGTCCAACCTATGGCGGGATCGCGTTTTTCAGTGCTTGGATGGTTCAGAATTTGGCACTGTATTTGAAGTCACCGATCTTTCACAAGTCGTTCGGTTTGCTCGTCGTATCAAGATATTGAGTGTTGGTGAATACACTAGAGGCACATGGCTTGGTAATCTACTGCGCTATAATGACTTTGGCTCGCTACAAAAGTTATACGTTCAGGGTAAGTGGTCTTCTTTTCGCCAATGCACCTTTATTCATCTTTGCGTTTAAAAGACGTCTCGGCCCATTGCGTTGATTACTTGGTTTCATCATTAATGTCCATCAGCGGCACTTTGACGCATTGTACAATTGAGCTGGAAGGGGATAGCATGTTACCGATAGGCGACATTCTTCTCAACTGCTCCAATCTGGATTCGCTCGAGATAGCTCAAACCTATGCTCCAAGTATCAGCACCCTTCCAATGACGACATGGCCCAAATTAAGGACTTTGATCATCTTTACGAGTAGAATAGGTATGATCACCAGTGATGAGATCATAGCGATTGGCAAGCGTTTTCCATCACTCAAGAAGCTACAATTGTCCCCGTGCGAAGATGTGGAATCAACACGCGTTGTCTTGGAGTATTATCCTTGGATGAACGCCCTTCGCCTTGACACGTTTGGGTCAGGTTTCGCTATTACTATTGATGATGATGGACCCCTATTTAAAGAGGTTGGGATTACGAGATTCAATGTGGCCCTTTCTGTTTTGGAGAATGATCCTTGGAAAGGTGTGATCGATATACTAAGGCAGCATCAACAAACGCTCGAATTCATCACCTTCTATGCGAACATTCCTGGTCAGCCCGAAGAGATCTACAACATTGAATACGGGCGATTGAAGAAGCTTCATCTTTCCAAGTCTGGATGGTGGATACCGCACAACGCACCAATGCTTGAGGAATTGAAGATAACATGGTCCTCACTTACTTCAGAGTCTACCATGCCTGATACAACACCATTACCGCCAATGTTAAAGAAAATGGAACTCAGCTTGTATCCTGTATTTGGTGATGTCGACAAAGCGGCTCTTGAACAATACATTCAGCGATTTGCCCACCATTCCCAGTTGAAAGAACTTATTGTTGCGTTTGACTACTCTAACGATGTTGCCAATGTGCTACATGCAATCCTTCACCTTGGCCAACTTGAACGTTTGAGGATTGAATGTAAAGGTGACTGGGATTCCACTCAAATGGAACGATTCTTTGATGGGCTTAGCAAAGGATGTCCAAATTTATCGAGCCTCGGTATCAGCTCCTGGAAAGCTCCATCGACATACGCAATGAATGCTTTGAAACGGCTTGTACATTTGGAGGAATTTGGGTTTTCAATCAAGAACATGGATGACGACGATGGCTTTTGGCATGGAATTCAAACCTTTCCGCAACTTAAATGTATCCATGTCTATGCTGGAAATACAAAGAACATGAGTCGTCTTCGGCGTCTACGAGAACAAAGGCCTGATTTGAAGATTGTTGTCACCAAACGGGTGACATTCTGGTGAACATTCTCCTCATTACATGGTTCTTTCTCTACTGTATCCCTAGCTCGTGTTTTGTAGAGACTTGTAAGCGTGTTAAATAAACAATGCTTTGTTGCCATGTATCTGCAAACAGCTTGAACCCGTATGGATCACAATGCATTGCTATTGCATATAGGCCGCTTGTGGCCCCTCATTAACAGTGACAGCTTTCTTTGGTTTTCTATTTATCTTTTGTAGGAGCTACACCAAAGGATACGATGCTATGGTTCCAATTATACGATGTGCGCGGGATAATCCGCACCGAGCACACCAGCATCTAAAATAAGCTTGCCAATAGAAAATGGACGCTTGGGAGGTCTTAGCTTGCCAACATTATCTTGCACTGCACGGCTCCATGCATTAAAATCATCATCTAGTTTATTAGACAAGCCATCATATCCTTTAATCAGTGCCACATAAATGAGCGGTCATATGGTCTTATTGGTAACGATTGGGCTAACTGTTGTGTACCGAGTATGTGCAACAGGCCTTTTTTCAGTAGTGGCAGCTACGTTTTTCTTGTTTAAATACTATATCCACAATCATCCTCACACAAAGGTGCCTGTGTTCGATGCATACATTATGTTAAAATACACACAAGGGCATTATCGATAATCACTGCCACGCTTGGTTTGTGCTTTTATATTGGCAAGGATGGATCATGTATTTGGCAACCAACAAAAACTGTAGAAGGCTGCATGCCATTCAACTGGGAATGAGGAAAGCAGGCTTGAGTATCAGATTTGGATTCATTTATTGTGAAAGGGGTAGTATCAGCTATGGGGTATCAGAAAAGGAGCATGGTGCTTCAATGTCTTAATGATGATGATTGGGTACATGTATGGTGATGATTGAATGCGTGATGTCAAGTGGCTGTTGGATAAGAAAAGGATAGCTTGGTGGCAAAAAAATAGTGTTTGGTTACACCTGTTGTGACTCCATACTGGATCAATGGAAAGGCAGCGGAAAAACTGCACGGGCTGCAGGATTGTATAGTGTCCATCACCTGGCAACGCATCTCCTTGGCAACTAAATCCAGATCATTTTATTGTCATAAACAAAAAAGCTATGCTACTATGACTAACGAGACACCGATGTCCATAATTCTCTTTGACCACAACGTCATGGCCCCATTCCGTATCCCATTGTGCGCTCATTCATCCTGCAAAAGCCCGTAGATACAGTAAATACATATATGCCCTGCCACACGTGGCACCTCTTTGAACAAGCATATCCACGATATCCATCATCCTAACCTACCTCTCCTCCTGAAGGGCCATCCCGCATGGTATTGGAACCTGGATCTGCATATACACCATGGAAGGGAAAACAGCCACACAATGCAACACCAGAGCAATTGCATGAAATAAAGCAGGTGAACTCATCTTGAGACTTGCTAGAGAGACCAGCTTGAGTGAAAGGTTGTAGCGGGACATGCCATCATCCTCTGGGAATTTGGTACTGCAATAATGGCATCCAAAGATCGATCTTTTGATTGGTTGAACAAATGTCTTGAAGATGATGTTGACGATGATGATGATGATGATGATGTTTGCCAGCAGCTTGAAACAAAAAACCCACCATTAGGATGTTGCTAGCATTCCACTCCTCATAATATTGCACGTACCAATACCTTTTTCCCAGGTCGACGTATATCGAACAAAGTTGTACACATACAGTTGGGATGCTCGTAACTCGTTTATATCGCATAGTTGTGTTTGGTGACTTTGGACTGGTCTAGCTGAATACTTCCACCAGGATCTCGAACCAGATGAGGCGACAGCAATTGCTGACAATCGTTTTTCCCTGGGGGCCGTCATTGTTGAACGTGCAAGTTGTATAGCGTTGTGTAAAAGAGGCAGCTGAAACGAGTACAAGGGAGCGACGATTCACGAGAAGTCTTTGTTGTAGAGATGACGTGTAAGTAAGAGACTGATGCTGAGTGAACACCAATGTGTTGGCAGATGGCGAAGGGCGATGTTGACAACGAGTATAAGTAGAGCTTTTGAGAGGGTTGTCAAGTATAAAAAGGGAGCTGTTTGGGATGAAGAGAATAAAGCAGCTTTGTTGACTGGCGCTTCTTGGCCAATGAATTTTATGCTGGAACGGGACCACTTGAGTTACTTCCTTCTTCTTCACTCAGTTCAACCAACCATATGGCTCATTCTATCTGGACCGATTTATGCAAACAGCCCACTCACCCAGTGTCCACTGAAAACTATGCAACGATTGTCTACTATTCGACCATTCGACTCCATGAACCCATTGACTCCATCTTGTCAACTCTCAATGAGCGCGCCATGGCATTGTCAAAGCTTGCCAACTTTGATTGTGCTCTTCGCGACGCCAACGTTATGCAACAACTCTCGCCCTCTTCACCACTTGGATATGTTCGTGCAGCCGACATTTATAGTGAGCAAGGAAAACAGCGTCATGTCGTCGATGTTTGCAACAGAGGGCTGACGATGGTGGAACGTGATGATATGCACTATGGTCTATTGCAGCGAGCCAAAGACAGTGCTATACAACTACAGGATAAACGCATTGACTTTATCAGCCAGCTTCCAATCGACATTGTTTCCACAACGCTTATACCCATGATTACTGGTGATTCTCCTTTGGATTCATTGAAGCCATGTCCCCATTTGCATGTGTCCAATGCATGGCGTGATTACTTTTTGCGATATTCCGATGGATTACGTTTCGAGACTGGGGACGAGGAAGAAGAGGAAGACCTGGAAAAGTGCTCCCAAATAGTGAGGTTTGCTCGACACATCACGGCATTGCATGTTGATCGATATTCCAAAGGTGCCTGGCTATCTGATTTATTCCGTGAGAATGATTTTTCTTCATTGCAGGAGTTATGCGTTTATGGTAAGTGTGGTCATTATCTCTTATTGTGCACGTACTTACCATTATTCATATAAGATATGGGAGATGGCTATATGAATCGCTTTATTTCTTCGTTGCAATCAGTGGGCAGCAGATTGACACATTTGAATATTCATGACGACTTTGAAGACACCATACCTGTGACAAGAGTATTGTCTGCCTGCCCCAACCTGGTTTCGCTTGTATTGCATGAACCAGATATTCACGATTTCAAGCACCTACCCATGACACCCTGGCCAAACATGACGACATTATCGATCGTCTCCCTAGGAGAAAGGCTTGGTGATGAAGAGATACACGAGATCTGCCAGCGGTTTCCAGCACTGAGAAAATTCGACCTTCATCCATGTCTTTATGTTGAATCGGCGCTCATGATACCACACTATTGCCCGTTGTTGAAAAGTGTTGAGCTTGCCTTTGAGATCATGACTGTGGGGGTTGCCTATACGGATCGCAACGCTGGGTCGGAAGACGTTGTGGTTACAAAGATTTCTGTTTACATGGACGATTGGGAAGAATTTAGCGACGTTGCATTCGAGGATTTTCATCCTACTTTACGGCGGCATCATACAACACTCGAGGACATCGAATGGTATATTTCGCCTGAAAGGGACTTCCACGACCTTGTCAACATGCCATATCCTCGCTTAAAGAAGCTATCACTCCTCACTTCGGCACCACCAATATTGCAAAACGCTCTTAATCTTGAAGAGTTGACGATGACATCAAACGCAATTAATGCCAACCCTGCAATCCTGGATACAATCCCATCTACGTTGAAGAAGCTCAAATTGAAATTGCATGATGGACGCAATCATGTTGATCCGAACACCATCGAGCGTTATCTTGGTCGCGTGGCTCAGCAATGCCGAATACAAGAACTTACAATCCACGTCGACATGTTCGTTGCCTTTGAGAATATCCTTCAAGCTGTCTACCGTTTCAGCATGCTCCAACGTCTAATGCTCAAATTCAGGAGGGATTGGGAGCCGTATCAAACTGAAAGATTCCTTGACGGTCTTGTGAATGCATGCCCTCATCTATTTTCGCTTGACATTGATTGCAACCTCGCTCCATCGACCTATTCCATGAATGCATTGACACGACTTGTTCATCTAAAGGAGTTCGCCTTTTCCATCAAGGACATGGGCCCCTATGACAGCTTTTGGCTTGCACTTCGAACCTTTTCTCAACTCAAGTGCATCCGAGTACGCCATCAAGATCCAATCACTAACGTTCAAATTCGCCAACTCAAGAATCACAGGCCTGACATGAATGTTATTATAGATGGATTGTACCAACCAGTCTGGATGCCGTCTTAAATAATGGAATGCAAGTACTATCATCTTCAATACATATCCTAGCACTTGTTTGCGATGAATAAATATGCCTTCTTCAGTACATGTATGCATAAGACGCAGTCTTCAATGATGTATTATACTCTTAGACATGGCAGCTACCTCTCATAACGCGAAGGAGAGCTCTTGCATATTCGAACACCTTCCCTATGAAGCTACATAGCCTTTGTATATAAACACGCTCATAGACGATGACGGTTCGGATGACCTTTTGTATCCCAAACAGTTCTCGCACACGCATTATTAGCTGTATGATAGTGGTTGGTAATGCTAGCAACGAAAGCGGTGGTATTCAACATTCAAGGATGTGATGTGTTCTGCTATACATGTGATGATGATTCTTGCATGACGCACACACCGCTATTCACAATCGCATTTCTCGTGCCATGCATATTACATCACGTTTTTTATTTTGATAGGACCCAAGGCTATCCGAATACAGCTAGCGAAATACTAGCCAAACGCATCCACAACTATTGCAATCGTGTAATCCTACACCGTATCCATGGTGACATGATCCAACGTATACAGGATGCAGGATGGGCCAATGTATGCCACCTTCATCCTTCGTGAACAAGGACCCCTCAAACTTCCCATCATTCCAATCGTCCTCATCGATCGAAATAAACATGACAATAGTGTACTTGTTCAGCTCCATATACATCGTGGACTCGAATTGATGAAGGAATACGCAAACTCAATTGTGAGAAAGGACTTGGGGGACTAAAGGGTATCATGGTGCTTTCCATTATTCTTTGGTGGATCCCTTGCGCTGAAACAATCCGATTCAATAACCAATCCAGTGTACATCCTACAAGAGATGGACCATGAAAACGATGATGATACAGTAAGCAGCTTGAAACAGTAATCACTATTTGCTTTGAAAGCAACCCCTCCTCATGTATTCCACGTACCAATGCCTGTGTGCATGCAAACCATGAAAAACGCTTGCCCAATCCGACCACCATAAAGACCCACAAAAGCGACTTACTAAATAGGCATGCCTTAGTACTTGAGAAGCAAAATCCAATGCACGTGAATACACATTACCGGAAAGAGTGACCAATGAAAACTATATCCAAACACACCGGGTATCACAATGGTCCGATACGATGAATGTAATCGGTTGCGTTGCTGCATGGTCTTGAGACACATTCCAAGAAGAGCAAACGTATCAGCATTACGCCTTGCATTGTTACAGTGCACTTACCATGGTTGGTACCATCCCATCCAATGCATCCACATCGCCAGGAATGAGCAAGTTCAATGATGATGACAATTCGTGAGGACTCTGCTTTAACGGTTTAACCCATTAATCACCCTCCCATGATCCACTCCTTTGCCTTCAGTATCACTGCTCTTTGTACATACCATCTCCAATAGACGAAATTTTTTCCCATGCTCGGTTGTCGCTTTTGCATCACGTGATCCAATCGCGGGATAAAGGTTGCTGCTATTGAATACAAGAAACACACCTATAGAGCACATCAATGAATGCCTTTGCTGCCCACGTTTCAAGTGGTCTTGCTTACCCCATCACCAGTGCAACCTTTGCCCTCCATGAATAGAATCTCCTTCCACATTCCTCTGTCATTACTGAAATTGTCGACATTGCTGAAACAAGAAAGCTGTAAAAACACACGCCTATCAGTATACACAACGAACAAAGGCAAGTCGGCTTTTACACTCTATTAACACGTTACGTACCTTCGTTGACACGCTTGCGCATATGGACTTGACTAATGAGGGGCTCCCATGTCGAACCAAGAACGCGTTGTTATAAGGTCTGGGTAAGAAGCAGCAAGGAGAAGCTGAGTAGACATGTCACCCTTTTGACACAAACACATGGAAATCAGCCACTGCCAATGATACATGCATGCACCATACACACCGCTATCGCAGCCAAGGCAACCAATCTCTCCATGGCAACATGTTTTACTATTGTTACCCTTCAAGAGGTGCCCGAATGAATGATGCGGTAATCATCTATATAAGGTACAGCATATAAAAGCAAGATTCCTAGACCGAGGATGAAACACGTGACATCGCATGTAGGAGGATAATAGTATTATTGATATCGGATATAAGGAAAGCTGTATAAATAAAAGGCAAACGCGGTAGTAATGGTGTTGTGTGTGTGTTAAATCTTGTTTCAAGGTGGGGTTGTTATTGTTGGTACTTCAATTGCACGTTGTATAGGCTCGTGCTCGTTACCGATTCGATCGCATCCGCTTGCCTTTCTAATATAAGCAGTTCAAGCTGCAGCTTCTGCAATATTACAGTATGATTGAGGCGATTGGGAATGAGCCAAGACAACTTTTCATATCGCATCATGCTTAAAGCATAAAGAGAGCCATACCCCAAACGTCACAATGACGCATGGGCTCTTTTTGGCACCAACGTGCTCAAAGTTGGCCATGCCACCACCCGCCAAAATAAAATCAGGACCCCGACCTCTTGAAACTTTTTGGGCTGGCCATCCACAAATGCAAAAATTGCTATTGACGAGTTCGAGCTTGATACTTTCACACAAGGTAGTTTCGACCATGCTGAGCATGCTGGTATCAAAAAGAGCACATGCTCCATTGAAAGGTTTTGAGTTACAGGTGCATGTATGTTTTGCTATTATAAACGCGGGTCTTTTTCGATTGTGACCCATATGTACATTTATAGTGAGATAGGTGCGAAAGGCGATGTTTGTATACGAAAGCAAAGAAAAAAGGATTAAAGAGCAATGGATGATATGTATACGCTATCTCACAGTGATTCATGCATTGCAAGCTATTAGCCAATTCCACCCGATCCAGCCCATTGTGGATTTGATAACGTATGAAAAAGGCGCCTGCTCCAGCCCAACATTTCCATCATTCAATTATCTTGATCCGAGCCGATTTGGATGAGCTACGCTTAGACCAGGTTTTGTCTACTCCATACACCCGTATACGTTGCATGTTGGAACGCATGTACCCATTACGTCGCTGTAATTTCCTCAAATTGGCTCGGATCAATGTAATGAAACCATCAAAGTGATTCTTTGGAGAGGTGCATTTTTCATATGGTAGCAAATCCAAAATGGTATCTATTGGGTGGAATTGGCTTATAGCTCTCGATGTATTAATGCCCATGAGACAGCATATACATATCTTCCATTGGTGTTTTAATCCTGCTTTCTTTGCTTTCGCACCCAAACACGGCCTTCCCCAGCTATTGTACTATAAGTGGGTATATGAGTCACAATTGAAAAAGATCCACCTTTATAATAGCAAAACATACACACACCTGTAACTCGAAAAATGTCAATGAAGCATGGGCTGTTTTTGGGACCAACGTGCTCGTCCTGGCTCAAGCACCCTTGTGTGTTAGTTTCAGCATTGAACTCGTGAGTAGCAAAAATCGAGTTTGTCACCACCGGAAACTTTTTTCGCTGGCCATCGACAAACGAAAAATTTGCGATTGAGGATCTCGAGCTTGATACTTTCACACAAGGTACGTTTGACCATGCTAAGCACGTTGGTGCGAAAAAGAGCCCAGGCTTCATTGTAACATTTTGGGTGATGGCTATCCTTATACTGTAAAACATGGTGCCATATGATGAGTAGTCTTTTTTCATTAGGAATAGGCCACACCAGAATAGAAACAAAGACAGAGACAGCTACCTTTGTGTATTACAGGTAAAGAGTCATGACGTAAGGGTCACTGGATGATACTAAAATAAAGCCTTGAATAATGGCAGCTCATAGCGACATTCTCCCAACCCTGGCTGATGGGTGATCCAGTGCATGGGAACGATGTACTTGCTCCAGACATTGAGCTTAATAATTCACCAATTTGCTATCCCACCATCTCTCACATACCCTGGCAACACCTCCAACATGCAGAAGTAAATACCAAGTTAGTTACCGCTTGTTTGCAAAAGTATTTACCATTTAAGGTATAATCAATAAAAGTAGCTTTAAGCAAAAGTGAGCAGGCTCACGCGCTATAGTTGATCCGTTTGTTCTATTTTTAGTAAACTATAACCCCGTCGCATAGGCTATCTATGTTCCAAGTCATCAAGGTCATGGCATGTGCGAGAGCGCAAAAACCCGCTACCTGCAAGCCAAGGTAAATAGCATATCATTACACTCGTCTCCTCTAGCTGCAACTGTTTTTCCAATACCACATGGTAGGTTTACTTTAACACGAACGCAGTGGGCCTGCTTTTTGGGAGACGAGAGCCTTATACCCGAAAAGGAAACTAAGCCAATCGACAGCTGTCAGATGTGAAAACATTAAATTAACACTAATCATGACGTATGTTATACCATTCGAATCGCCTCAATGAGACAAACGTAATGTTCAAATCCACCATAGCTAGTTTACTTGAGCGGGAACATGTTGTAGGGGGTTTCGGCCAACTCATCCTAGCACCGCGGTTTGTGTAACCTTCACCTAAAAAGGAAATCAATGTAACCATGGAGACCATGGGATCAAAAATACTAAAGTAAGCCGGGTCACAACAAACAAGGTATCATTCGAATCGCCTCAACGACACGATCACACTTTTCTAAGCTGGCAAAGGTAGTTTATTTGAAATTGAAGGCGTCGTGATGATTTACGGACAACTTTTCGGTAGCAGCGCGATTGGTGTAACCTCAACAAGGAAAGAAATCCTGGTTACACAACCAACTTTGAAATGACGAATTTGAAAGTGAGCCGAAACATGATAAATGGGATACCATTCGAATCCCCTCGATGAGCTGAATGCACTTTTCTGATGGTAAACTGGAGGTTGACTTGAAAGGTTTCATGTAATGGAGGGAGACAGCGTATGAAAAAAAGGTCACCAGTCCAAGGTTGCACAAGGAGCGAAAGCATACCTGAGGACGCACACGTAGAAACGCGTGACCATGGCAACGATTGGCTTAGTTCCAGTTCCCGATCCCACAATGAAAACAGGGTACTGGTAAGGATGCAACGATTGG